CTTCTTGACCTCTCCCAGTTCCTCGAGAAACACTCCAGAGTTCGACACCCAGTTCATAATCTCGAAACCTCCTTTCGAATGAACGTATCTAACTTCTTTCGCTCTGTTGATTGCTTCTTCGACCGTATCGACGTAATGCTTTTCTATTATCGCCGCTGCTGCTTCTGGAAATTCCATGGAAAACTCGATGGCATTTTTGTTCTTCACGTACTGCGCTTGACACGGTGAGCATTTCGATCCGAACGTTGCGACGTCCATTATATATATGCTTGGAGACTCGTTTGGTGAGTTCCGGAACACGAACATCTGTACCTTCTTATCTGCCGCTCGCATCAGTAGCTGGTGGTACATTTCGCGAATATCTCCGCCGTAGCCGATGGGTCGTTCTCGAAAACGATTTAGTACACCCGGAAGTGGAGTGAGCATGTCGACCTGTGAGCAACTGGGAATTCAGGGAGACACCGTTCACCATTGCTGCTGCGTCCCACACCAGTCGTACCTTCGCAGGCTTCTTCGGATTTAGCACTACCAGAACTCCTGGGGATCGAACGTAGCCAATTCTTCCGGCGTCGCCAGATGTGCGTAGCCCTTCTGCTGGTATTCACCGATCTGCTTTCTCACGTTCTCGTATAGCTCCGGTGTCCTCTGCAGCCGTTGCTCCAACTGCCTTAATCTGCGCACCGTCATGGGGTAGCTATCCGGAAACTTTGGATTGTCGGTTTTCCACAGCATTCCGGTTTCGAAGCGATCGTCAACGCGCACTGTTGTTCGGTCTAGGATCTCTCGAGCTCGTTTCTCATCCTTCGACTCCTGTGATACAGCAACTACCGATTCTTCCACCGCGTAGTGCTCCTTCAGCAGGTTGTGCAGGTCTTCATTCGAGATTTCGTGATGATACCCTACGAAGTTCTGCCGACGTTTCGATTGTCCTCCCATAGGACCGTAAATTGACCAGCCGAGTTTGCACCGTACTGCGATTGGCTCTCCTTGCTCTCCGACTTTAACTTCCATTGGTGCGATGGCGTGAAGGTTGTTCAAACCGATGAGCATACCGGGACTTTGACTAGGGTACGAAGAAATCGGTAGATCGCGGAGGAAATGGTAAGCAGTACAAATCTCAGCACCGTCCAGTGACTGTCTCGGCAGAAGAAGTTGTTCCACGGTCTGTACGCAACTCAAAATCAGCTTTTCTTCGCTTCCGGAGGCGGATATCCAAAGGTTCATCTTCGTTGAGTCTTTTTCAACTCGAGTAACATCAGCGGTCCATTTGATAGTGAGGGGATGGAGAGCTCCTTTTGCCCCTAGTCGGTCAGTCAACGATCGCTCCACCAACGTGATTGAAGCTCCTTCGTCCAGAAAAGCTAACGTCTTCACTGTTCGATTCCCGCAGTGTAGCGAGACTGGAATCATCCGGAAGAGGATCGTCCCTTGCAGATGAATGTGTGTGTTCATCACAACTGACGATGCTAGAGGATGCAGTAGAGGATGATGACGTTCCTGACACTCGCCAACGTTGCATCGAATCTTGAACCGACACGGTGCGTTTCCATGGTCGTTCAGGCAGATTTGGCACAGCTTACCCTTGCCAGCAACCTTCATGCGATCCGCAAATGACATCGTCTTGAAATCTTGACAAAACCGCAGCCGATGATCTGTGCGATAGCACGCTTTGCAAGGCTTTAGACTCCTGGATTCTGGGGTGCTAACTGGAAAGCTGTCCATCGAACTTCCGGTCCCGCTGTGGTTATACACCGCTCCTTTTTACTTCACACCTCCTTTACCAGCTTTTACGAAGTGAATGTCCTTGAGTTCTTTCACCTCGACGCAGGCATTTGCTTCACATGCCTCCGATACGATTCTCGACAGAAAATCGGAAAACGTCCGCAACGTGACCTTCTTCTCCTTGTTTTTGAAGCGTACCCATTCACGCTTATCGGAGGAAGGAAGTTTGTCTACCAGATTCTGTACCAGCAACGGATTGACGAGATGCTCTTTCAGATCCGCCGCTTCAAGGTGGTCACACAGTTGCTCTACCGCGTTTCCGAAAGGAATGAACGTCCCCAACTTCTCGGCTTTCGGAGGATCCAACTGCTTCACCTTCTCCAGGTGGTAATGTAACAGCTGTTCCGGACGACCGTAGAGTTGACGCAGCTTGAAGATCACCTTCAGTACGGATTTCGGTAGCAACAACTGTCCCCGAACGCTCTCCAATGCTGGTCCTTTGAGACTCTCCTGTAGACGAACAAGATTCTCGATATCGTTGTATCCACACGCTTCGTTCGACGCTTCGTAACTTCCTATGAAAAGAGGCCATTCCTCCGGTTTCCCCGTGAATATGGGAAGTTTTCTAGAGATCCCGTTTCGCGCAGCCAATTGCGTCTTCGTTGGTCCAGCGGATTGCCGCCCCAGCCCGTGTGGCACCACCTTCTTTTAGTCTTGCTTCTTCTTCTTCGATTTCTTTTCCGGTTTCACTTCTTCTTCCGACTCCGCTTCAGACTCGTCGGACGTTTCTTCGGCTTCTTCGTTTTCATCTTCTTCATCCGATTCTTCCTCTCCGGAATCAGTTTCCTCCTCGTCGCTATCGTGTTCGCTATCTTCTTCGCTATATTTATCTTCTGAAACTTCCTTTTCTTCTAATTTTCCACTTCCGGTACCTTTATTCAGCTTCGCTCCGCTCTTGTTCTTCTCCTGCGCTTGGTTTTGGTCTTTCGAGCTTCCTTCCTGAAGATCCACTTCCTTTTCATTCTTTTTCCGTTCTTTTACGGAAGCATTCAACTTCTCCTTCACGCCTGCCATCTTTGCCTGGTACTTTTCTCGCATCCGTTCCATTTTATCCAAATGCGCTTGTTCGTCCTTGAGGGCCTTTTCAAGCAGCTGTTTTTCCTGCTCCCTTTCCTGCATTCGCATCTCGTTCTCCATTTGGAGCCTTTTCTCCTTCAGCTTCCGATCCATTTCCATCCTCTTCTTCCATAGCAGACGTTATATCTCCATTTCCTTCTCCTTCGCTCTTAGCTCCCTCTCTAGCTCTTTTAGCTTTTTCTCGAGCCGGGAACCGGACTGCCGGTCGGACTTGACGCTGGACAAGTCCGATTTTTCGTCCGTTACAAGCATCTTTTTGGAAGATTTCCCTTTCTTCTTGGGATCTCCCAACAGATTTACCTGCTCTTCCTCCACCTTCTGGCATTGCTCCGTCGGGCAGAACCACTTCTCCTGATCGTGGATGTTTTCCTCCTGTACACCTACACACCGGTAGTGGAACCATCTGTTGCAGCTATCGCAGGCACCCATCCCTTTATCTGCTTCGGACGTCGTCGAACAGGCAGCGCAGGCTGTCGTAGTGAGATTAACACTCATATTTGGGGTTATCCTAATCCGAATATCTTTTTTTGAGAATGTTCGGAAAACTTTCAAGAATTCCACCACTGTTTTGTAGCAGCTGATTGACGCAGCTCAAACTGCAAATTTAATATTCAAATTAGTGTTTTACGATATACAAATTTAAACTCTACTTACAAAAGATAGTTTCTTCTCTACACCTCTTGCTACGAGCGATTTGCGGTGATTTATCGATCTCAAAACGTTTCTTCACTAATCTGAGTTCAATCATGGATAATTAGATTTTCATATAAATTCCAATTTAGGTTTAGGATACTTACGATACTAGTCTGGACTTTTATCCACAATTCTAGTCACTAGATCTAGGAAATTGTAGAATATTAGATTTAGTTTTGTGCTTGCCAACCTAGATATAAGATGTTGTTTTCAGTTCATTATTTATACTAGTTGCATGATCACATTTACCGTATATCCCATTGAAAACACTTTCTGATACGATTAAATGCACTTTTAGATACCTTAAAACAAGTTATGATTATTTTTTCAACCGAAATATGAGCTAATTTTGCTAAACGCAATCCAGAATTTTTTCACAATAATGAACGATTTGTTTTTGTATACATTCCTCCAATTCAATTCTAAAGTTTACCTGACAGCGACGTAGCATGTTCGCTAGACCGGTATTTGGCCCAAACCGTGTTCCCAGTTTTCTTCACATTAGTCTAGGCTTTACTAGGTTATATTCTGATATTTTTTGAATCTCGGGCAATGTTTCCCTCGTTCAAGGAAGTCTTCAGGACGCAATTCATCCGACTCAAAACGTTATCTCGCAGCTCCATATCAGTATGGCAAATGGTGGTGAGCTGACAAAAACCAAGATACTTGTACGATTCGGCTCGAATCATGTCCCTAATCATTTCCCCTTCGTAAACCTCGTAGCCATTTGCCTCGATCAAACGTCCACTATGCAGCTGAACTGATTGTCTTTCATCCAAACCCAGTGTCATGCCGATGCTTTCTGTGCGTAGGTGTGTTTTGATTCTCGAGAAAAATCTGAAATCTAAAGTCTATTTCAATTGTTGATCTAAGAATTGTGGTTTTGATGTCATTCCTTATAGCGAATTCGTTTATTATCGGGGTTAACACCAGTTCCAACCCAGTGCGAAACCGAACTTTTTGTCAGTGTGAACCTCAACCTGAGCTAGGTTTTAAAAACAAACGAGCAAACTGACGTTTGTCAGAAAACAAGTAGAACCAATCTTGATACCCGATCCAGGTTGGAACTGAATAATAAACTAATTCGCTATTACTAAGGCTGTGTTCCATTTGGTGAATTTTCACTTAAATTTGACACTTCGAAAATAAATTAAGATGTTCGAAAATCCCTCTGTTGTTGATCTTCCTATTTTCGAGAAGGTGTTTGTCAAAATTGATTCCTGGTCTGTCAGTAATAAGTCTGGTACAATAGCAGGTTTATTTGAAAATTTTCCATCTGTCAAATTTAAGTGAAAATTCACCAAATGGAACACAGCCTAAAAGCTCTCACCTTTTTTGCCACTTTAAAAATGTATCCAATCTAGTAGACATCCCACATAGCCTACCAAAGTCACCGGTTTACTGTCATGTGCTTGGTTAAATAAACATATCCTTTTTTCTTCCAACAGGAGCTGCACGAACAGCGCGAACCTCGCTGGCCCCGAGCATCAACGGCCAAGACCAGTCCGAGAACATTCCCCCGCAGAAAGCTAAACAGGCTAAGGTATGTCTAATGTTGTGTGTATGAATCTACCTTGAATGACATATTTGTCCTCTTTCTCCGCACAGGCACAGCCCACCATAGGCAGGATGTCGGTGGCCGCTCAACCTACGGCTGCTAGCCAGATCGCACCTCCACCAACAACGGCAGCCTCGCAGCTTCAGAAGGACGCTTCCAACCCGCGTCGATCGTACGTTGTGAAGGAGGTTGAACGATTGAAGGAAAATCGCGAGAAACGACGAGCCAAGCAAGCGGTCATACGGGAGGAAAAGAATGCCCTAATGAATCTCGATCCGGGGAACCCCAACTGGGAACTGGCGGCGATGATTCGTGAATACCAAAGCCAAATCGATTTCCGGCCACTCCTCGACGGTCAAGCCATCACCGATAATCAAATTACGGTGAGCGTACGCAAGAGGCCGCTGAGTCGGAAGGAAGTAATGCGCAAAGAACTGGACGTCATCTGCGTGCCCACGAAGGATACACTGATTGTGCACGAACCCAAATCCAAGGTGGATCTGACAAAGTTCTTGGAGAACCACAACTTCCGGTTCGATTATGCGTTTGACGATACCTGTGACAACGAGATGGTCTACAAGTAAGATTTGTTCATGTTTTAAGAGATTAGGAAATGACATCTTTATTATTTACTTTAGATACACGGCAAAGCCTCTAGTACAGACAATTTTCGAAGGTGGAATGGCCACTTGCTTCGCATACGGTCAAACGGGTTCCGGAAAAACACACACCATGGGAGGCGATTTCAACGGTAAGGTTCAGGACTGTAAAAACGGCATCTACGCAATGGCCGCCAAGGATGTTTTCACCTATCTGCACAGCCCGAAATATAGCCCTCTGAATCTGGTGGTATCGGCGAGCTTCTTTGAGATCTACAGTGGAAAAGTGAGTGGGACAATTTTGAAAACTATTTGTGATCGTATTGACCGTGTACTTTTTTTTTTAGGTATTTGATCTCCTTTCGGACAAACAGAAACTACGCGTTCTTGAGGATGGCAAGCAGCAGGTGCAGGTTGTTGGTCTAACAGAGAAAGTAGTTGATTCCGTAGAAGAGGTGCTAAGTATCATCAACCATGGCAACAGCACACGCACATCGGGTCAAACGTCGGCCAATGCAAACTCTTCTCGATCGCATGCCGTCTTTCAGATCGTAGTCCGGCCTTCAGGATCCACGAAGATTCACGGCAAGTTCTCCTTCATTGATTTGGCAGGTAACGAACGAGGTGCGGACACATCATCGGCCAACAGACAAACTCGAATGGAGGGTGCAGAAATCAACAAATCCCTACTAGCGCTGAAGGAATGTATTAGAGCACTCGGAAAACAGAACGCCCACTTGCCATTCCGTGTGAGTAAGCTAACCCAGGTCCTGAGGGATTCGTTTATCGGAGAGAAGAGCAAAACCTGTATGATTGCAATGATTTCACCGGGACTGAGTTCGTGTGAGCACACGCTGAACACGCTGCGGTACGCAAATCGCGTCAAAGAACTAGTGGCCATTGATCCGTCCGAACGCGCGGACGACGTCGAACCGATGGAAAGTGATGAACCGAAGAACGGTATGCTATCGGAGAACGATTTGGCTCAGCTGCGATCTTTGAATGTAATTATTGTGCGTCAGTTTTTGCGGGCGGCTTCAACAACTGATTTCTATTCAATTTAATTTACAGGAGCACGATATGTCGGTGGAAATGTACAATCAGCATGCGGCTATTTCGGATCTACAGCAAACGGAGGAAGAAGTTGTCGATCACCACCAGAAGGTGAATGAATTCCTGATGAAGTTCTTGCCTGAATCGAGAGAGCTATACAAACTGACGAACTATGTCGATTACGATCAAGACGGTGAGTTTAATCCTGCAGCATAATCATTGCAAAAAATCTAAACTTTGAATTTCGGTTCAATTATTTTCATTTCTATTCGCACAGCTTACTGCAAACGTGGTGAAGAGCTGTTTACTCAACTGGCGGAGATTGCTACTACCTGCAAGGATCTAATGTCGGAGTTCCGCACGAAACTAACCAAGGAGGAAATGCTGTCGCACAAGATCAAACCCGAACGAAAATACAAATAAACTCCCTACTAACTCTCCGTTAGTTCAAGCGTAAAAACGAAATGAAATTTATACCTTTAAGAACGGGAAGCATGAGTGCGTACGAAACAGGACTGTTGATTTGATATGGTGCGTTTGCAGGAACAGCTGCCAACTGGAAGCCGAAGGGAAGCTGTGCTATCCGATCGCTGTCCATTGGCGCCTGTGCCCCATTTGCACCTGTTGCAGTCTCTGATAACGAATGAATAGTTGTTGAAAACACGAGATTTTTCGCTGCGCTCTACTACGAAACTGTTGCTAGGAAAATGAATGAAGAAAGGGGACACGTTTGTGAAAATGCAAGAATTTATTTATTAAACACCATTTTTAAACTCATTCTACACTAGCGTAACACAGAAGATGAGTAAAAAAAAACAAACGGAGAAACTTCTACGCAAACTGATGATTCCGAACTGCGGTGAGAAGCATCATTGACCGAAGATATTACAGCGAATAAAAGCTAAATACAGACTATTTTCCAATAGATGAGATATCTTTTCGTAGTATTGTTGTAGAAGCAGAATAAACAAATCCAACCTTAAACACAAGAATTCCTAACAAGATAACTATAACACATTCTGCTGGATAAACGCTCCCCCTACTATAGCCATTTCTATAAGTTCATTCCTCGGAAGAGAAGCAAAGTAGGTACACTAGTGTTGGATATCTGTTGAAAAGTTTAACCGAACAAAACGACCAATATTTAATTGTTAAGTGATGAAATGATCCACTCTATCTCTCTTAGCAAACTGGAAACAACACATTATCAACTGTATTATAAAGCTTGTCAAAACCAATTGATTTAAGTTTTCTGGTTTTCTTTTAAAACTTTAATCGTTTTGATTTACTGTCTATCCACCTCTGAATCTAACTCGAATATTACACTGATAAGAGCAACCGAAAACAAAATCTACTTGCTATTTTCTATCATTTCTCACAACAGTCACAAAGTTACTAACAAAGATAAAGATGTCAAAAACGAAAAAAAAAATGAAATCTTACAACGTCAAGACTGCGGTAGCTCAGACTGAGAGCTTACCGAAAGACTACAAAAGTAAGAGCTACAAAAAATGGTGCAGAAAGAGAGGTGGTGAGGAGAGACGCTAAGCAAGTAGTATACTGCAAACATTTAATGAATAATTTTGCTTTGCTCTAAAAAAAAACCTATATAGGAAAACCGGAAAGGGATGCATCTAAAATGAGCGTGGATGAAATAAATGTAGATAGGTACGGCTTGATGAAATACAAGGTAAAAAGACGAAACAAATGGCAAACATATTATAGACTATTAGAAGCAGAATGCAGCAACTGAAACAAAATATTAAAAGTAACACTATACAAGTATAAGAGTATTTTGAGAGTGTGATCAAATTTGAACAAAGCAACAGAAAACAAATGTATTTGTCTAAAGCGAAAATATTACCCAGTCAAAAAAGCTATATTTCGACAAAAAAAAAACGTTAGTTAAGTTTGTAGTTTTTTCAATTATTCTCTCTTATGTTTCTGAATCGAAGCGAAGATATGCCAGAACAGTCGAAGCTTGAGTCTGAATTTGGCATTTGTCCAGTGGTAGAAGAAAAGCAACAATAATGATGTATCATTGCACACACACACATTGACTCGAGAAAGTCGCAAACAGGAAGGAAAGAAAAGTACTCACTCCAAACGAGCAAGTAGAGTGAAATAATGGAAACAGCGAAAAGCGTTTCGCAGTTAATATGATTTAAATGGTAATTATTTAATTAACCTTGTTTTCTTTTAATATGATTCGAAGAAAGTTTCTTTTATACTCATCTCAAAATGATAACAATCAAAATTAACGCTGAAAACGAACACCGGCCTTATTGATTCCCGTGCAGTGACTTATCACACTTCCTTGAACAGCTCACTGAGCTGACTTTGCTGTGTAATGTTAGGTATTGCTTCATTTTTCAGTATGTTCCTATCATGGGTGTGGGCTTTGGATCGTGATTCCTGATGTGGTTTGCTTTTGTTGTGGCATTTGGGAATACTATTGACCATGATACACACTTAGTTTTTTCTACCGAGTTTGGCTGTGCAAATCTCGGCAAAAAAAGTTTCACTGAGATCTCAGCAAAAATGACATTTGATTGCTGAGTTGCTGAGAATGCTTAGCTGAATCTCAGCAAACAAATGAAATGTTTGATGAGATCTCAGTAAAACTTTTTTTTCCGAGATTTGCACAGCCGAGCTCGGTAGAAAAAAACTGAGTGTGTAGGACACGTTGCGGTGGAATCATGTAGCCGTGATTGAAGCACTTACTCAAAAACATTTAATATGGGTTATTCTGGACGCGTCACGTTGCCTAGGTTACCATGGAAATATTTTTTTTACCTTTTTCGGTAACGATGAAGATCAACCATCATGCTACCTAGATGTAACCCGGAGGAAGCAATTGCCTATAGCTGACCATTGGTCACTCACTGAGATCACTCCGTTCATCAATCACGTACTTCGTCGTCTACCTACACGCATGTACTCAGAAACAGTGCTGTAAATTCTCAAAATCAATTGAACATTTTTGACGAAAATGAGAATAGCAGCTATCCGCTATCAACGGGAACCTCCTTCGAATGGGTGATATCAGTTGCTTAGTCATTTGACGAAGGCATGGATCATTCTCATTTGAGAAATGCTTGATATCATTCAATTGAGTGTAACCTACACATAAACGGAGCTCTGGTCGACATTCCGGCGAAAAAGCTAAGCCAACCCGACACCATCCTGACTTCTCCCAAACCCCAACCCGATGTTGACCCGACATTGACCCGACAACAACACGACATTAGGTTCGACATCGATCTTAAATTTACTTTACATTAATCCAACATCGGGTCGACTTGTCTGTTCGGGACCTTTTTGCTGGGTTTCTTCCATACTCCACTGTCGTATATCAAATGATAGTGAGTGACGATGAGCTTCGAATGAGAAAGGGGCTCTTCAAATTTTGGTCATGTGAGAATTCGTTTTCACAGAATTGATTGAATGGATGTATCGGTTCATCTTCAATCGAATGATATGAAAATTAACAGCACTGCTCAGAAATACCTCAAAGATCGGAACAGTTTACATGACTAACGCTGAAGTATAGTAGCAAAGAACACAAATAAGTCAAGAGCAAATTTTCATTATGTCGTAAGTAACATTCGCACCGATCCGAGAAAAATAAAGTTTTGTTTGGATGACCGAAAATTTATTCCTATTTCCAATTAAACACATATAATCCCATAGTGATAGCAATGTTTAACATATTCAGCCGGGTTTTAATCATACAAAGGCAAATCGCTAGCTTTCATGCTAAGAAATACTGGTTTTTAAGTCAAAAGATATGATACGTCGTTTGGTGGCCCCTATTGTTACTTAAGTCAAAGTGTATTTACCAGGATATTCGGGAGAATTATCAATTACGTCTCCTTACGTGCAGCCCATTCATCATTTTAGGACCACCGAGATCATCTTAGCAACAAACAGTTCGATTTATTCACTTTAATAATGAGAAAGCGAAACGACGAAAGTACACTTTTCACGGGTTTCTCAGTGCTGTTACTTAAGGCAAGCGGCATCTCCATAGAAATCGGGTGACTTAAGTAACATCGAAAACTATTTTGATCGGAAGGTGATTACGTCAAAAAGCAATTCGACTGGTAAATAAATTTAAAAATGGGATGTGATCCTATATTAGGACAGTATATAGTGTAATAGCAGGAGCATCGATTGGCACTGATAGCTCGACTTTGTTTACCTTTGTTACATTAGACGTAATGAAAATTTGCTCTTGAAGTATGCACTGTGAATTGCACCAACTTGTCGAACAGAGTCGAACACACCTCATGTCACTACGACGCTCGCAATAACCTCCAATCAATAGGACTCTATGACATTCACCCATATTCTAGTTTTCGTTCGAACCGTATTGTCCATACAAAAAAAAACAAAAAACGAAGAGCTACTGATTCCGATCAATAGCGGTGCAGTTTCTTCCTCTTTCTATGGATGCTCATATAAAGTGAATTTTGTTACAAACAAAGAACAAATAATTGTCGTCTCCGTAAAGCTAACGCGATTGTACCTTACAAATAAACGAACTAGATTAAAAAAAAGGATGCTCATGTGGGCTGCAGCCCGCTGATTGCAGGCAGCCTTTCGTTGTGTACTGGAGAACACCACCACTCACCACGCGGTGATTGAATATACACCGTTTGGTGAGACAAGATGAAATTAAACTTTGAAATCTGTTTTAGGGAAATTGCTTTTCGCAGGTAATCGGTGATAATTTTAACTATCAAAGCAACAGTTGCATATTCTTGCAATTTTCAATAGTGACATTTTGAAAAATAATAAAGTCTTGATTTTAACGGATTCGTAGAAAAAATTCCTCTTGGCGTCTTAAGAAGTAAAAACCATCATCTCTGGATCAAAATCAGACCACTTTCATGCCGCGACCGACTTTAATTTTTGAAATCAAACACCAATGTTGCCTTAAATTACATGGTATATTAGATTTAAACATATCTAGATTGGAATTAGACGTAACAGCTTTTGTAAACAATGACTTCTCTGGATGAATTTTAGGAATTCAAGGCACGCCCACGCAAACCGAAATTACCGTCGGATAGAGAAAGTCTTACCCTACCTGATGGTGATGTTGATTTGCGTGGGCGAGCCTTGACTTTCAAGACATCATCGAAAGAAGTCATTGTTTACAAAAGTTGTTACGCCCTAATTCCACAAAATACTCTTTTACAAACTTATGGTGGTCCTGAAAAGGACCGTTTTGTCGTGATGGTTGAGTAATGCTGAGCTATAAGGGAGTTAAACACAGATGAGGCTGATGAGCTGTACGTTATTTGGAATGAGGGTGACGCGCTTGACATAGATGGCCCTCTGCAACTCAAGAAGAGCTACAGATTCCGATCAATAGCGGTACTGCTTCTTCCTCCTTCTATGGATGCTCATGTGGGTTGCAGCTCACTGCTTGCAGGCAGCCTTTCGTTGTGTACTGGAAAACAATGTTTAACACCACGCGCCGACCGGACAGCACCACATACGGTGATTAGAACTGAATCCGATCAGCGGTTGAGGTCAGCCTTGGAAGCTAGCTGCTTGTGGGGAGCCTTTCATTGTGTACTGGAGAACACCACCACTCACCACGCGGTGATTGAATAAATATCGTTTGGTGGATGGAATGGAATTTAACTTTGAAATCTGTGTTAGGAAAATCGCTTTTCGCAGGCAATCGGTGATAATTTTAACTATCAAAGCAACAGTTGCACATTCGTGCAATTTTCACTAGTTACATTTTGAAAAATTATAAAGTCTTAAGTTTAACAGATGCGTAGAAATATATCTGAACAATTGGTGATAAAATTATTGAAATTGGTCCAGGGGCAGCTGAGTTATTAACGTTCAAAATCTTTCAAAATTTTGTTACATGTTCCATTGTCGGTTTTCACAAAGTGAACCCCCATATAGAAATCACAGACGTAGTCATACGTCAAAAGGATTGTGGGAAGACAAGGCGTCCTCAACAAGTTTACGAAAAAAAAAATGTAATAATGTCCACAACTGGTACAGCAAAACATCACATAGACGCCCTTATTCGCACTATGTATGCAGATGTAGAAGAAAAAGAGGATCCACCGCAGCCAACTGAAGCTTGAACTGGGTACCTGGGCAATCCACAATACCCGCGGCAACAGCCAGCAAACGATGCCCTGTCGTATTTAGTTGTTGAATGTTGTTGCATTTTATATCATTTGTGGAGATAGGGTGGCTCTATGGCTGATGTTCGTATGATGGTAATTTACCTAAATTCAAAACTGGCGTTTTTATATAAAGGTTCTCAATCTGTAATGACACCCTGCGCTTCGGTCAGAGTGCGCATAGGGCGTCGTTGTGGCACATTTCGAGTATGAGAGAGTAATTGCAGTTAGATCAAAAGTGCCTGAGAAAAATGCAAGTAATTTCGTAGATTACCCGATGTTACGATAGTGGAGGTATGATCACAGACAAGCAGACATAACACTCTTAAAACGTTCATCAAAATCGTTTTTAACGGACAATTTAAATGTTTCCACGTGGTGTACATAATCAATTCCCTAGCGTTAGACATTTACTCACTACAACCATCTGTTGAGTGTATTGCCCATCATAGTGTATACGACAGATGGCGGTAGGGTTTACAATGATAAATGTTCAATGTGTTGTGAACATTGAGAAATATTCCGCATCACTTTCAGAAATACTTCACTTCGCAACCGATGAATCATTCTGACGGTCATATGAGTACCCAAGTAACCATATAGTCGCAATATAGCTTGTATATTCTTACTTTGCTTGAGTATGGTTAGTTGGGGAATCTGATGAAACTGTCACTTCTTGAAACTGATCCCTTTCGTATTTCTTTCTTTCTTTATTTATTTCTTTCATTCTCCTTTCGCACACGGAGCGCTCGGTGGACCAGCGACTTTGGACGTGAGCATCGTTCCAGATCACCATGGCAATTCAATTACATTTGGTGGACATCAAACCGACCAAAAAGGCGGAATTATATTAGAACCAACCAACCAAGGACGATCTACGGAAGGAAATTGCCAGCAGCGTAAGAGAAAAAGTCCAAGCCAAAGGAAGCAATTAACGACGGCGGAAGAGCAGAATATAATGAGAGCTGTCCAAATTTTTGTTTACATAGGAGAAAATTCGGTAAGATCCTTCCATTGCATTATTTTATGATTCTTCAGTATTGTACAAATATTTATACATTACACACAACTACACATAGTAATTCGGAGCGCATGTCCACGCATCCTTCC